TGCCACGCCAGCAGGCGGCGATATAAACCTTAACCGTAGAGCCACGTTGGCCAATCAGAAGCGCAAATCTGACGTCAAACACAGCGGATACAACGCATTCTCATCCCAAAGCGTCATATACTGACGCTTTTGCCAAAGCGTCTACATCCGACGCACATGGCACCCTTTAGCGTCAATATAACACGCTTCGGTTATGGGTAGGTTTCATAGACAGTATAAGAAGTAGACAGAGCCATCTCATTGGAACTCAGTTGAGACAGTTGAAGCCCATTTTTAGCGATTTTTGAGCACTTCCGTTCCTGACGCGCAGACTCAAACCGACTCAAACTAAGCTTGATGACGTGAGCAACCTGTCTGACAGACGTTAATCTTCTAGTAGCTGTGCGTTAAAACTGCCAACGTTAATCTTGCAGAGACGGGGAACTTGAGCAAAGAGTTCTTTGGCGTGAGTGAGCAGGAGTAAGTATTCCGTTGCTTTTATGGACTCTTTATCTATGGGCTTCTCCCTTGACGGGACGTCCCCCCGATTGCCTGCGAGCTTCTCCTCCTGTCTGTACGGTAACTTCTGTACAGCGCGACAGAGAGTCGAGTGGTTATGACGCAATCGTTAGCCTATTTTTACTAAATCTGTTTCTGCGGGGCCATAATGTAACATAGAAGGTAATGGAGCCCTTTATACATTGTCGTGTTTCTTTAGAAATAAATAATGGACAAATGGAGTCTTTAAACGCCTCAGATGTAAAGTTATTCGCTGTCAAAGTGACGCCAAAATGAATGGGAGTCAATGGAAATGCTAACGCAAGTGAAGTTCTGCTACAACATGGCGGCACCCGGCCGGCTTCAACTTCCGGTCGATGGATTACCCCCTTGGTAGGTTTAGGTCTGGGGTAGTGTTAGGGTTAGACCACTAGGAGGCGCCATATATCTGCGTCTCATATTGACGCTAAAGGGTGCCATGTGCGTTGGATATAGACGCTTGAAGCGTCAGTATATGACGCCTTGGGATGAGAACGGGCTGGCGGATAACGGCGCACACTCTGACGTCGCAAGGCAAAAACCCTGGTTTCACTGTCTACACGACAAACTGTAACCAGCGTTTCTGAAAATCCTCACCCTGGCAGGGGTTTTCAAAAATGTTCGGTTTCAGTGCGTTTTCGTGTGGACGAACGGCCGAACCGCGTAAAAAAAGTCACGGTTATAAAAATACCCGTGTCCGTGTGGACAGGGCCTAACTAATGGAAAACGATGCAGACTGAAAACAAAAGTCCAGATGGTGGTTTCCCTTGTGAAAAATAAGTTTACTTTTAAAAAGAATACTTATTATGAAAATAATATACTTTAAAATAATACAAAAAATTATATGTATATACACAACACAGTCACACACACACACACACACTGTAAAAAAGTTGCTGCCTTAAATTTTTAAGTACAATCAACTTGGATGTATAAGCAATTTCAACTTAATTTACATTAAACTGACTTAACTGAATTAGTTGAATCTTGTACAGTTAAAGCAATGTAAAACCATATGTTGTCATAACTTATTGATCATATAATCTTTTACAGTGTGTGTATGTATATATATATATATATATAGAGAGAGAGAGAGAGAGAGAGGGAGAGAGAGAGACTTTAAAAGATTCAACACATTTTTTAAAGTCAGTTTAATGTAAATTAAGTTGAAATTACTTATACATCCACGTTGATTGTATGTAATTATATTGTAGATTGTATATGATATAATAATGATTAATATAATAATAATAATAATAATTTATATATATATATATATATATATATATGGTTACACTTTATTTTGATGGTCCACTTTAGACATTCTACTACCTAAGTAACTTTGCAACTACATGTCAACTAACTGTATCAGTAGGCTGTAGACTGTCAGTAGACTGTTATGTTAGGTTTAGGTGTTAGGGTTCGGGTTAGTAGAACAAGTCGACATGTAGTTGCAAAGTTACTTATAGTCAGTAGAATATCTGTTGGGGGACTATCTAAATTAAGTCTTAATAGGTACTTTGCAGAGAGTCTACTAATACTCTAATGAGTTAGTTGACATGTAAGGTACTTAGTTAGTAGAATGTCTAAAGTGGACCATCTAAATAAAGTTTTATCATATATATATATATATATATATATATATATATATATATATATATATATATATATATATATATGGTTAAGTGCATAGTATAAAAAATTAAATGCTCAACTTATGTTTTTACTTTACTTTACCTCATCATTATTTTATCTATTTGAGATTCATCTCCATTTATTTAAGTCAGTTTAATATAATTCAAGTTGAAATTACTTGTACAACCAAGTTGATTATTCTTTAAAATGTAAGGTTAGTCGGGTTTAAGCTGAAATAGGAGGACATTTTTTACAGTACTTTTTATGTGCCCTACAAATGCACATTCAATACAATTAAACACTTTTTTTTCCTTTCTTTTTTTTTTTACAAAGGTTGAATTTTTGTATCTAATGCAATAGCATTTAAATATTTTTACACTAAATAATGTCTAAATACTTTTTGGGGACACTATATCTTTGTATTGCAGGTTATTAGAACTCTTCTCAAGCTTATAATAAGTTGCAATGCAATGGAAAGGAGTGTGATTGCCTCCCCTCTCTTAATTCCAGCTGATGGCATTGTCCCCATACCTCTCTTATCCTGGGTCAGGCCCTGCTCCACTCAGACACAGATATCTTACCCTGCCACGTGTCAAACAGCCCGACACACTCTCCACATCAACACTGTCCCAGCAGACAGTATCGGGCCTTGTGATTTCCATCATATTTTAAGAAGCACCCACACTTCCATTATGTCAAGCGTTCCGAGAGAGTGTCCTTAATAATCTCTCTCTATTCACGTACAACGCGAAGAAGAAAAGTGAACACTGATGATGCAGGACTTCCAACCACAGAATGTGCAGTCCAGTGCAGCGGAGTCACAGGACGTGGTGGCCGTTTTGATAAATAGTGACAGCCTAAGTGCTCTGAGCTCCATTAGCCTGAGTGAGAGAGATACCACCATGGCACGGCTACCCAAACAGGATATGGTGTCATGACATGATCTCACATCGCTTTAATTCACAGTTGGGTGAGCTCTAATTAAGGCCTCCATCTGTCACCCGCAATTTGTAAAGTCTTTAGGCAAGTCGCCCTACTTCTCAAGTAGATCGGTCCTGGAGGCTTGCTTGTAGCGGTGACGTAGCGGGCTGTTTTTTAATGGCGCATTTCGTGACAGTCGGGAACACAGAGGTTTGCCTGAGTGCTCAGATAAGATTAAAAGGGTGGAAATGTTTCTGATAGGTGGCATGAAAACATGGAGAGTTCTGTTTCCTGATAAAAATCTCATATCAGTCCATTCACATGCGGAGACAGAGAGAATATGGCACCTGAGAGGACCCTACACTTTCAAAATGTGTTTATTTTCTCTGTCAAGTTTCAAATAGCATGTATTGATCAGTAAAACGTTGCAGAACATGATGCTAACTAGGCTAATGGGTTTGATTCCCAGGGAATGCATGAACTGTTATGCAATCTCAGTTGCTTTTGAATTAAATTGTCTGCATAAATGTAAAAATTATTCCAAAATTGGATTGGATTGGGGTCTGACGTGCAAACGCTGAGGGTGATAAAAATCGTTCTGTCTGGTATGTATTTCCTTCTCAGGCTGGAGGGGTATCAGACTCACTCTGTGCTCTTTCAGACTAAGTGAGGCTTAGTATGCCAAATCCAAATCTGATAACTGCTCAAAATCTAACACCGCGGGTGAAAAGGTTTAAATGCCCACTGTAACCACATCAAACAGAAGGGATTCTAATCTGGCCTGTTTTATTTTGACTAAACGTTTGGCATGAGAACTGAGCTCGGCCTATAATGAGTCTTGGAATGATAGAGGTAGGTTATTTTAAACATATTTTTTCTATATTAGTGCTATAAACATTTTCTGGACATTCTTTACATTTGAGCTTTTTAAGGAAGCTTAAAAAACATTTAAGCAGTTGGAAGTCTCATTTGTTGCCTGTCTATGTGTAAGTGTTGTACATTGTATAGCCACTAGATGGTAATAATAATCTTTTTCTTTTAGAGGAATCTCGGGATGTGGGATTTTCCAGTGTAAATAATGATGTTTAATAAAATACTACGTTTATTGAAATCTGTGACAGATTAGGTCTACTTGTTTTTTTTATATATAATTAAAGTTTCTTGTCTGGACTTTGTTTTTCTTTCATTAAATTTGGAATGAACTTCTCTCCTTGACAGTAATATCCTGAGGTGTTGAGTATCATAGCAGCTATTTTGATAAATTCCTTTGCACCCTAATTTTCCACTGTTGCCATTGCTTTATTAGGCCATAATAATATCAGTGCCACATGGAGACATTTTATATCTGCTTCGGCTGTTTATGATTCTACTAATTCTATGGTTGAAATCTCATATGCAAGGATTTACATTAGCTATTTAAATATATTTGTAAGGAATGTAAAAGAAAATGTTTAGTCTAAAACAAACAATCCTATTGCATTAGACAATTTACATGGAAGCTTTCAAAAATTCATAATGGTGTTTTCCACTAAAATATATTTACACTTAGTGTTACAAAAAGTAGGCTAGCCGCTGTATAGCCACCGTTAATAATAATAAAAAAAGAAAGAAATGAAAAAAGAAAGAAATTCGGAAATGCCTACATTGTTTGAATGAAATCCTATGTAATAAATTGTTTTAATTTGCAGTCAGAAAAATTACATGGTATTTTCGCTCGAACTACGATTGCCATGGTACATTTTTTCCAAGGGTAAATCTCCAGATTGAGCGTTTGTGTTTTGCCTTCTATGTTGTAGGTGGGCGGAGCCACGATAGACGCAATATATTTTCAGTAGTAAGTAGGTGGAGCATATTCTCGGCGTAGAAGTGTGTGGGGGGAACCAGTCGAGTACGTCATGAATACCCCGCCCCCGTATTAAAAGGACACTGAGAGAGGAGAGCGAAAGTTCAGTGTGAGCCACAGAGATGTGAGGAGAACAGAGAGAAGCTGCAGTCGGACTATACCTTTCACAGAAGTTTGGAGATAACCGAAGACACGGACAGATTTGTTGTTTCTCTTGTTGAGCTCCTCCCGATGCCCTTATTTGTCCCAATAATGACGGTAATGACTGACGTGAAATATTAGGTTGTTTTTTTAAGTGATTGTGCACGCGCGCTTTTCATATTAACATACGAACTTGGACATTAAGCATCCTTTTTGTATGATATGAAGACTTTGAAAGAGGATTTTTCAGAGAAGTTTAATTCAGAGGAATATCTATTTTTCAGCGTTTTATTTGGATGACGTGAAATATTCATTGAAGCATATTAATATAAGCAGTGTATATGGAGCTACATAATCACCCATAAAAAAAGAAGAAAGAATCTTCTTTTGGAACTGTATATGCCAGGAAAGTTTTTCTTGACTTATTTCATTAAAAAAAAAGGTGACTGAAAATCCAGCATGGGAGGCTCACCTTTAAAAATTGTGATTTCTCTGTGGTGTCAGCTGGTTATTGCTGCCTACAGTTTAGAGATTGGCTCTTATGACCCGGAGAGAGGAAGACCAGCTAAATGTGAGCCTATCGTCATCCCTATGTGCCAGGGCATCGGGTACAACCTCACCCGGATGCCCAACTTTATGGGCCACGAAAATCAGAGGGAAGCTGCGATTAAACTGAATGAATTCGCCCCTCTGGTGGAATATGGCTGTGATGTGCATTTGAGATTTTTCCTCTGCTCTCTTTATGCCCCTATGTGTACTGACCAAGTGTCCACATCCATCCCCGCCTGCCGTCCGATGTGCGAACAGGCGCGTCAGAAGTGCTCGCCCATCATGGAGAAGTTTAATTATGCTTGGCCTGATTCTTTGAACTGCTCTAAACTGCCCACCAGAAATGACCCCAACGCTCTGTGCATGGAAGCCCCGGAAAATGACACCAAAACTGAGACTAAGAAAGGAGAGGGCATGTTGCCTGTGCCGTCCAGACCCAGGCAGCCTGGCACTGGGAACGGACGCTCAGGGGGCAGCATGGGAGTTTGTGAGAACCCGGAAAAGTTCCAGTACGTGGAAAAGAGCGAGACGTGCGCTCCACGATGCTCGTCCGCTGTGGACATGTTCTGGTCCAGACAGGATAAGGACTTTGCTTTTATTTGGATGGCGGTTTGGTCTACTCTGTGCTTCATATCCACAGCTTTCACAGTCCTAACCTTCCTCCTTGACCCACATCGCTTCCAGTACCCAGAGCGGCCCATCATCTTCCTCTCCATGTGCTACAACGTTTACTCAGTCGCCTTTATCATTCGATCTGTCGCCGGGGCGGAGAACATCGCGTGTGACCGTGAGAATGGCGAGTTGTACATCATCCAAGAAGGCCTGGAGAGTACGGGTTGCACCATAGTCTTCCTCATCCTCTACTATTTTGGCATGGCAAGCTCCATCTGGTGGGTCATCCTCACTCTCACTTGGTTCCTGGCGGCTGGTAAGAAATGGGGTCACGAGGCTATTGAGTCGCACAGCAGCTACTTTCACATGGCTGCTTGGGGCATACCTGCCCTGAAGACCATAGTCATCCTCACCATGCGGAAAGTGGCGGGCGACGAGCTCACCGGACTGTGCTATGTGGGCAGCATGGATGTGGGGGCGCTAACAGGCTTCGTCCTCGTGCCTCTGTCCTGTTATCTCATCATTGGGACGTCTTTCATCCTGACCGGCTTCGTGGCGCTTTTCCACATCCGGAAGGTGATGAAGACCGAAGGCACCAACACGGAAAAGCTGGAAAAGCTGATGGTGAAAATCGGCATCTACTCCATCCTGTACACGGTTCCTGCCACCTGCGTCATCATTTGCTACTTCTATGAGCGGCTCAACATGGACTACTGGAAATTCCGAGGGCTCCAAAGCAAGTGCACCACATTCCCAGGTCGGAGGAACGAGGACTGCTCTCTGGAGTCTTCGGTGCCCACCGTGGCCGTGTTCATGCTGAAGATCTTCATGTCGCTGGTGGTGGGCATCACCAGTGGCGTCTGGGTCTGGAGCTCCAAGACGCTGCAGACTTGGCAGGGTCTGTGTAGCAGAAAGTTTACAGACAGGACTTGCAGGAAGCAGTGCAGCGGGAGCTGTAGCACTAGTCACTGCCACTACAAAGCACCTGCCGTCATACTGCACATGTCCAAGACTGATCCCTACTCGGACTGTCCCACGCATGTATGAGCACAGCGCTGAGACTCTGATGTCCTGTACTGTGGACTTTGTGAGAATAAGACATGCAGTGCAGTGAAGCTTTACAGCGAACTAAACAAACTTAAAACCCAACATTGCAGCTAAACAATGGATTAACAGTACTTTCTTAAAGGGAGAATTTGTATTATTGCTTGCTGTAGCAATAAATAAGACAGATATGCACATCCTAATCAGTTCTAAATATCTGCAATTGCTCTTGCATGGAGAAGTGCACAGTGTTCCCGTTTGAAAGCTGTTCGATGACTTGTTAATATGTTTAATTTACTTGTTCAAATGTTTCAGGACACATTATTTATTGTATATATAAATATATTTAATTTTTCTTGGTCTTGGTTTCTCACAAGATGGCATTGATCGTTTGTTTTAAAGTGCCTTTTTGAAGAAGATAATAAAATGTTATATATTTTCAACATGACTGAAGTTTATTCTTTGAAGTAGGCATTTCAAGAGTTAACTGCTAGCCTAAATGTGTTTACTTGTACTTTTGGTTTAGTGTTGCTACACAAAGTGACACTATTATTTCAACTTCATTCAAGTACTTGAGCCGGACGGCTGTGTTTGCATCTATTTAGAGGTGGAAGTTAAAGAGAAGCGCCTTGGTGAGACTTTTCACATGGACTGTAACAAGAAAATGCGTCAAAGCAATGCAAATATTTTGATGAAGAAAGCTAGGTTTGCATCTGAAAGGTTGCCCCAATTCAAATGCAAATCGATCCTTGAGGGACCCTTTCAGGAGCCTTCAAAAGAGTGGGCTACCCCCGAATAACACAAGGCTATGTGGCTTTGTACGCCCCTGACACGAATACATCTATGTCACTTTTAAGGGCCTATTGGTCAGAGTTGTGACTAAGCTTGGATCTTGAAGATTAAGCTTGTAGCTAAGGCCTCATTTTTGTTTATAGCACATTGTTTATGAATCGCGTTATAGTCCATGTTCGCTGTTTTTTTTTTCCTTTCAGCTGTTTGCTCTATTTTCTCTCTTTAATTCCCCTTCCATATGACAGACGCAGTCGCTTTGGGCACGCTCTCCTTTGAGCGCGTTTATCAGAACAGAAATCCCTGGTGGTTTACTCTCCTTCATCCTCAAAGGGAATCGTTGAGCAGAGCGACAGACAGTAGCCTGGATTTCTCTGTGCGAACGTTCACATCATCACCTTTAAACGCAGAGGTTGTTCTGGAATTATATTTCATTAATGAGGAGCAGCACATGCACACAAACACATCCAGATTCTCCTATTGTTGTGTGTCGCTTTCTCTCTTCCCCCTCCACTCTTTGATGTGAGCCACTCATGCAAATAAAGGCACTTTTCTCCAACGCTTGATCCGGAGCATGTAGGGCTCCGATGGCTGCTTGAATTGTATTTTCTTCACCCTACCGATTTTGATGATTCATTTGTATGCCATTGCATATTTGTTTCAGCTCATTTTCTTATTTTAGCCTCTAAATATGTTTATCGGCTTAAAAACTTTATGCATATGCCAAGCCAACAGGCTATGCATTATGAGCAAACATATTACATATATAGGCCTATTTTTGTAATATATATATTGTAGCATGGGTGTATGTTAAATATCCCTGAAAAGAATGGTCTATTTGGTCTTCCATTCATAATAGTTGAATAGTCTGAAACTGATGGACATAGGGATAGCAACATATGGGCCCTCTTCAAGTGTGATATAATGGAAAATTTGGTGCTGGTGAGAAGATTACTGTTTACATATACACACTGTCAAAGTAAATAAATATACTTTTCAATAAGTACTGGTGTAGTTTAGTTTCATAAAACACTACAATCTAGTTTTAACGTGACATTATTTCCACAAACTAAATTGCAGTTGTGTCTAAATTATGAATTTTGAAAAAGTTTCACTGAACAATCTAGACATGGCCCTAAACTGCCCTCGTTCTCCAAGTAACACTGTGAAGTATAATTCATTTTACCGAATCTATTTGTTCTAACAATTCATGTAATTCAAACTGTTCACAAAAACATTGTGATTCATTTGAGTCCCTGCGAAGCCCATATATATATATATTTTTTTTGTAAAATATTTAATTAAATGTTGCTGTTCACTGTTTTCAACACAGTTATTGAAAGATTTCACATCATATATATATATATATATATATATATATATTTAAATATGTTACCCCCTGAGCTTAGTGAGTCCTTTCTTTGCTTACAACCAAGGTTTCCCAAACACACTAAAATTAAGTTCCGTTCATCTGGTCAAGCTAATATAAAGTGTCTCAGCATTTCCATATTTATTACATTTCTTCCACCTTATAAAAGATTTGAATAAAATCGCAAAAAAATGTGACCGAACATTTACCTATATTAAAATCAAACTTATGTACACTTTGCAATATTTTATAATGTTCTATTCAAGCCCTACTATAATTAATCTTGTGCATTACATATAGCTATGTTGATTTGGTTTCACAAGTAATAATTATTCAGTTATTGTTCAATTGTCCAAAAAATGTCCCTGACAATCAATTATAAGTGGCAAATATAGCCCTATATAATAATTTCTGACACTGCTGCAATATTTTACAGGCAGTTGCTGACAGGTGTATATGAGTTATAGAAGCCACATTGTTTTGTTGTTTAAACTGACAGCTGTAGTGTCATTTACCCATCGTCATCACAACAAAGCGGCTCCTCTGAGAGAGCTTTGGCAAGTGCACACATCCTTTCAGCAACCACTGTTTCAGAGCAGGTCGTTGAGGTCTGCTAGCGTTTTATGACAGAGTGTTTTGGTATTTTTCAGCTCAGGTTACCTCTCTGGAGGAGTGCTTTACCGTCATCACAATGTCAGTAAACTGCATCGGGTACGAGACTGTGTGTGTGTGTGTGTGTGTGCGTGCGTGTGTGTGTGTGTGTGTGTGTGTGTGTGTGTGTGTCTGTGTATGTGTGCGTGTGTGTGTCTAAAGGCACCAATTAAAATAACTCAGGCCAGTGGCTTATGTCTGAAATGCACCTGCCCAACCACAAATGTGAGGTCAACACTGGAGTAAAACATGCATTCACTCACATCCTCTCACTCACTCACTCACAAAAAGAAAATTGCTCATTTTTATCTCACAATTCTGTCTCTTAAAAAAAAATAAAAAAAATATTCTGAGTAATAAACTCTGAATTGCGAGGGGGGGAATTGTGAGATTAAAAATACCTTTGTGAGACAAATACCTTTTATTTTAAGTTTATATGTCACAATTCTGACTTTTTTCTCACAATTCCGAGTTTATATCTCACAATTATAAGGGAAAAAAAGTTAAAAATGTGAAACTCGAGTTTATATCTTGCAATTCTGACTTTTTTCTCATAATTGTGAGATAGCAAGTTATAATGTTGGAATTGCAAGATAAAATTGCAATTCCTTGGAAAAAAAATTGTATTAGGACATATAAAGTCGCTTTTTTACTCTTTTATTCCTTGCGGCTTCCATAACTTCCTCTTTCACAAACCTTAAATAAGCTTTCATGATGTTAAAGCCTATAATAGACATTAATCAGGGTAGTGCCTTATTATTTTCTGACAGGAATGAAAACGAAGACCTATAAGACTTTCAATAGAAACCATTTAGATAGTTACATGTGATCTAGGACCTTTCTATACAGCATGCTGTAAGTCTAGAGTAAAATCCAGGATGGCGTCTAACCTGACTAAGGTCTATAGTTCACTCTAAAATGAATTTCTTTATATATTTTATTATCTAATGCACCTTTAAAGAGTTAAAGTGTTCAGACTCTTTTTAGGCCCCACCGCGGGTCGGTTAGCCACACTCTCTTCAGTCCGGCTGACTGGAGTGTGAGAGACCCTGTCCGGTCATGTGTTTGATTAAAAGAGGATCTTTATGAGGTGTTTACCCACCTCCAAGCGAACCCAAGCCATGCTTATCAGTCCACAACCATCCACCCACCCCTCAGGAAAGAAGAAAGAGAGAGAGGGAGAGCAAAGAGAATAAAAGAAGCCCTCATTACACTCATCCACCCCCTCCACCCTCCCCTGCCCTCCAGAGAACTATCCCTTTTCTGCACTGTTTTGATGTGTAAATGAGCGCATTGAAAACCTGCTGGCCTAAAAGAGAAGCTTTCCATGAAAATGCGCCAGTCGCTTCGCAGAGGGGTTCACACATAGCGAGTCTGCCTCGCTCAGCACTGATGCTCCTCTTTTACTAATATGAACGTATACAAACAAGTATGAGTACATTCATGTAAACGAAACATTGGAATGTAGGAAAATCGCTATACTCAACTCATGCATAAGCAGACTGGATATAAACATTAAGGTCAACATGAAACTTTCTTCATGCACAATCCAGGTCTTATTGTAAACAATTCATCAGTGCTACTCCCCGCAAAAAAATATTGTTCCTAAAATACAATGTCTGTTCGTATTGAAACATTTATGGGTTGTACAGTGATATGTCTCTTGTTGTAACTTGCCTATAGGTTGGAGCTAAACTAGCAAGCGTGTGTGACACTTATGATGTTAAAATTAATTTATTTACGACATAGCAATGGAGTTATATGTTGGTAAGCATTCGATCTCAAATATATTTTAACACCTATTTCAGTCCAGAACTGTTTCTTTTTTATTGCACACACATAGCTGCAGGCATATACAGCATCAGCGAGTGTGTAGCGTTCAGGTTTTCTTTACAATGTGATTAGCTGTCACCTCACCTGCTGCTACTGATGGTTTACTTACTGATAGTTCACCCAGAATTTAGAAATGACAGATTTATCATCATACACACCCTCATGACAAACTTGTTTGACTGATTTTCTTCTGCAGAACATAAAAGAAGATATTTTAAAGAATGCTGGTAACCAAACCAGCTGGAGAACAATGAAAGAACATTTCTGGGACATTTCTTAAAATATATTTTATTGCATAAAAACTGACCCTATTTAAAAATTTTTTAAATATTGTGCACGATTCATCAGTGCAAATTCTAACAAGTACACAAAAATGTTTGTCTTCAAAATCTTTTATCCATTTAGTAGGCTATCTTTCTCCGTTTCTGAAATAAATGTTCTTTTCGGCTGATGCCACAGATATTTTTATTTTTCGATCCCTCAACTCACTGCAAAAATAAATAAATTTTCTTACTCTGTATTTTTGTCTTGTTTTCCAGTACAAATATAAACATTCTTAAATCAGGATGCATTTACTTGAGAAGCAAAATGACTAAAGATATTAAGTATTGTTTTCTGAAGATGCTTAAAACAAACAAAAAAATGTGTCTGTGGGGTCAGAAAAATAATCTTGTTTTACATTTGAAATGTATTTTTCTGACTCGATTGGCATATTCATTTGTTTTCTCTTGTTTTAAGCATGATCTTAGATCATGCTTAAAGAGTACTGAATCTCCTGATCAAAACACATGCGAAGAAGAT